TGCTAAAAGCTAAGATGGGCTGCTAATTATTCTTGACAAATAATTAGTCTCAATTTTCCTACTAGTTAATAAATCATAGAGCAGTATCCTTGACATCCTTTGTGACACAAACATACTCTCTACACACATTCTCTCTCTACACCTCCCCTCTACACACATATATACACACACACAAACACACATGCACACACACACACACACACACACACACACACACACACACACACGGGGAAATGTCTCTGAGGACTTATGAGGATGCATGCCCATTTGCTATCAAGGGTTGGAGGGTGGTAATCTATATCTCAAGGACTCTATGGACTTAAGATTTAACCACATGCTGTGAAAACTATTGCACAGGGGCTACATAGAAAAGGAGAATTAATACCCTCCACACTTCCTGAGTCTATAGCTGTGCTTGACATAAGAATACCAGTTGCTTTGCTTCCTGTCCCAGAATATTTTGCCCATTCTTCCTCGGCTTCCATTGATGAAGTTATTAACTCATCAGGATGCTGTGTGCCTAGCTGTGTATCTTATCTATTACTTGCTAAAAGGAGAAATGGAGAGCTTAATACAGTGCCAATCACTGAAGAGTGCAAAGCTTTATACTGAGTCCAGACTTTCAGTCTTTAAGAGCTCTCTTTACCAAAACAAACAAACAAACAAAAAACCCAACAAAACAAAAGAAAACAAAATGCACATAACAGAAATAGAGTCTGTTTTGTGTTGGTGATATGGACACTGCCCTGGTGTATGGCTGATACACATTGGAGAAAACTTAATTTTACGTTCCCAGCAGGTGTCTATTGCAAATATCTTCTTCGTTGGGGTTAGAATTTTGTGTTTACTTCCCCTTCCCAGTTCTGTAATTTTCTCTCGATTAAACCTGTGCAGGTCCTTGTAGTTACTGTCACTGGCTCTGTGAGTTCACATGTACACATTATACATATAATACATTTGATCATATTTATCCTGCCCCTATGACTTCCCCTAACTCCAGATCCTCCTTCCATCCCACTTTTCAAGCCCCTTTTACATTTAATGTGCTGCCCTGCCCCACATAAATGTGGAACCATCTACTTCAGCAGGGTTGATCTACTGGGATCAGATCACACGCTAAAGACCACTCACTCTTATCCTTCTAACAGCTCTTCCTCTGAGCCATTTCTAAATGTATTGTTTCCCAGGAAAACAACAGTCTGCTTTTCTAAGCTAGGTTGGAAACAGACAAGCATCATATTATCTTGTGGACAACTTAATCTTGCACCTATCACACTTCTATCTACACAGTTTCTGCTTTGCATCAGATTTTGAGTTTCAGGAAAGAAGGAAAACTTTCTTACACATAATTTTATTTGACTAACTACTGAGTATGTTGCCTGATGTAGAGAAGTAGGTAGTTGCTTGTTGAATTGAAGGCAGTAAACAAACATCTGACAACAATTAGAAGACCAAGACACATGATGAACCATGGCATTAAGGAAGAAGAGGTAATTATCTTTGTATGATCAGAAGGGCAGTCCATGAGACCCCAGGTCAAAAATTATGAAGATATTCTATATCATTCTCATTAGAATGTACTAAGAGAAAAACACTGGGTGAAACTAGTATTGAGAGCATTCAATTCTAGTGAGATCCTACAGACATTTGCATTCAATTATTCTACAGAGTCTATTATTCCAACTTTCTTGGAATGTAGTCCAGATAATTGCTTACATTATAATACAGCTTTTAGTACAACGATGGCATTTTTAGGACTCCTTGGTACTTCACAGAGTTTAAGCTATTAAATATAAGGACAGGCCTACAAATACGTTTCTAAACGTACACCATGTCTAATATTGACTAATGAGACTAAAGAGACATCAGAAAGGTAAACAAGAGCCAGGTACATGCACATTAGGAACACAGACTGAGGAGAGTCAGCTCTGTATAAAGCACACGGTCACCCAACAAGCTCTTAAATTTCCCTAAGCTTTCCCTTCTCTCTATGGAAACTAGAGACACTAATAGGTCTGATTTTATTGGCTTTATTCAAGAATAAACACACAGAGAACATTTGTTTCATTTCTCAGAAAGCACTTCTTGAGTTAGTTTAATTCAATACGCACATTCCACATATTGGGCACTTATAACTCAGACACATTGTTAAATGTATTAGTTTGGATAGATACCCATGATTCACTCTCAAGTGAGACAAACTGCAAGAGTTTAATAAATATGAACACTCTTGTGTTTTTAAACAAGAAAATGCACGCAAATTTTTCCCTAGTAGATTATATCTATTAACGTTTGAATTGGGCCCTAAACTTAAACAAAATCATTAATAACTGTTAATAACACCAACCCCAAGAAAACTGGACCTGTATGGAACATGAACAAGTATTAAAAGTTGAATTCAGGCATTGCTGCATTGGCTGACTCGTTATAACCAACACATATTACTTCCTTGATTTAGAAAATTAGAGATTTCGTCTTACTAAAATAAAGTGTGGGAACCAAAACCACTGCCATTTGGTATAGATAGGCCTGAAGAGTAGAAGTAAGAAAACTTGAATGCTAAGCGCAGTGATGGTGACCATGTGTGGGATGGCAGCCTGCAGGCATTCAGGACAGTGATGGTACACAGCAGCAAGCGCAGAACCAAACCACATCATTGGCCGTGTATTAATTCAGGAAATTCCCATGCAGAGACATTTTCACACGTCATTTTTAGAATGTGCACTTCCATTTCATTGCCTTTTATTTACAAGCTGAGTAAAAACTGGGATTTGTAGGAAGAAAAATATTCTTCCAACCAGAAGGTAACAGTGTGACCCAAGGCTACTCCAATGGAGTTTCTGGAGCAGGAAGAAGGGCCTTGCCATCCAGTAATGGGATCTAGGATACTGATTCTGAACAGTCCCCCTCAACAGTAACCCTGTCTGACAGGGGCACCACTGGTGTGTTCTTTAAAAATGTGCACTTGCTTCTCCTTCAGAACTGCCTAGGGCTTCTTCACCAGCTAAGCCTCTCTAGTCAGAGTGCTGATTACCGTGGACAAGAGAGAGGAAAGATGAAAATATTTCTTCTTGGAGATACTGTATCTTGATTTGACATTTTATTTATCTCAACCTTTAAGCTTATCTTGCTTCAAAAGGTAAAACCAGCTTTCCCTACAAATCTCAAAGCTTAATCCACTATCACTTAGAGTCGGTATTCAGTAGCAGTTAATTGTTCTGTGTCAGATCACCCTGTCCCTCTCAGTTTGACTCCCTGAGTGAACAATGACACAACACAAAACAAAATCAGCAACTTGCTGTAGGATTAAGGTGCAATCGATAGCAGCCTGAACAGGGAGTAAATCTCATTAATTGGGTACAATAGTAGCTTGTCATCCCTGCCTCATAGATCCAAAGAGGTTTAAGTCCTAAGGACATCAGTACAAGGTCAACTGCCTCTTGGCCCCTACCTACTACAACACCCAGAGGGCATCTGACACTTGACTCTTTTAATCATTCAGCTGGTGCAACTTTCAAACAATAAGGCCAAACTGAGGGTTTGGATCTGGTTGTTGGACGTTTCTCAACGTATAGAATAATAAGCTGATAAAAATCTCCCTACTTAAAAAGCCTACTTATTTATATATACATAGTATTGTACCTATATTAGTTTTATACATATATTACACGCAAACTCACAGAGATCCACCTGCCTCTGGCTCCCAAGTTCTGGGGAAAACACAGTTACTAGAGAAGGGAGCAATGTGACACTGGATTTTAGAGGTCTAGTACCACCTTCTTCTGTGTGTTTTCCACAGTGCAGGGAGGCCTTTGCCTGCTAATGCCTTGTGTTTCTAGAGACAGGATCGCATGTCTCTTAATTGTCTAATACAAGGTCTGCACTGTTTATGGCAGTTTCACTGTATGGGCTTTTATTCTTATGAATACATATACACTAGAAAAAACTGCCAGGAGATACAAACTTACTGAGTCATGACCATTCCGATCAAGACTTACTGAATTTAAATAATGTGCTAGGTGCTTAATGTAATTAACTTCATGATTATCCAGGCAACAACCAAGACCCCCATGTCTTTGGGTGTGCTGCTGAGCATTAGCTCTGGCCACCCCTGGACTGCATATAGACAGGGCTCCATCCTCTCTCTGGGGTTACTCATTGAGATGGGAGTAACCACTCAGAAGCAGTGATGTCCTGGATTCCAGGGGCTGGTGCAGGCATGGCCACCTGATAGGATATGGGCTGGTGAAAAAGGCAAAATTTAGAGTAACAAGAAAAAGGCACTGTTTTAAAAACCCAAATAAACAGTAAAGCAGACTGTATTGGGTTACTGAGAATTTTCCTGTGGTTTTTTTGTTTTCATTTGTTTTTTGTTTGTTTTGTGTTTTGGTTTGTTTTAATTCAAACCAATAACACCCCCACACATCTTTGTTCAGGAGATATTCTGCTCCTAAATTATTTGTATCTATTCATTTGACACAGAGCTTCGCCGCCCCCCCCCCCATACACAATTTGTATGTGCATGAAGTACAATGCGAAGCACAGAGATAAAGGTATACATGCATACAAGTGCCTGTGTGCCTCTGTGTGCTGCTAGGGAGCTGCAGCACCATGGACAGCACACTGTGAAAGCCTTGCACCTGAGGGGAAGCTGGCTCTGCAGACTTAGAGGCTGAGGTAATTTATGCAGACTACAATGGGAAGTCCAGCCCCTTTCTTCTCCTGAGTTTCCAGATCAGTGAGAATCATGGGAAACAAAACACATTAGCGCCTCAGGAAGAGCAGAAGACAACAGTCTCCTGGACCAAGAGAAGGAGGCATTTGTCCAGCCTGCTAACAGACTAAATCCACCCTATCTCTAGAGGAAACAGTAGGAAAAGAAAGGAAGGCATGCACACAACCAGAAACCTTCCCACCAGGAAATGAGACTTCAAGAGACAGCCCTAGCAGACACCAGGCTTAAACAACACAGTAATTAGTGGCCTAATTTATCTACATACCTCCAAAGTGAGCTCTCCGTGATGCTCCCAAGGTTATAGTCATAGAGCTTTGTCAAAATGAGAATCACCTGAAGGCAGAAGAAGAAATCATGGTTAGTCTCAAACAATTACAATCTCTTAGAACTGAAATGGCCCAGGGGAGGACTTAGGATTCCTTTAATGGGCGCTTAACATAATTGAATAAATTGTGAGCTCTTTGCTGCTGCTGAGGGCTGCCAGCCCAGTACTGATCTTCTCCCGCCAGCTGCCCTGCCCACCTTTCTCGGGGTGACCCCTCCGTCAGTGATGCCAGTATGTCTTGCCCTGCTGGATTTATTATTTTCCAGGAAGCTTACTGTCAAATATGTACACTTTAAGTTAGCCCCTGAGTAAATATTCAGGAAAGGTCAGTTCCCAGCTCCCATAGCTGGGTCAGATGGTCCACCATCCTTGATTCCTGAACCTCAGGGTGCGCATCTGACAGTGGCAGTACAGAGAGAGATGCTAACTTTTACGAAACATTACTGTGAAAAATAAAATATGAATCATAAATACAAATTACATATAAATGCGTATGGGTGTCTTCAGCAGTAGCCCCTTTCCTTTCCTTGTGAGTTTGGTTAACTTTTTCTTCGGACTTTGAAATCAGAGAGGAGCAAGTACACCACAGAGAGCAAAGTTATAGCACCATGACAAGGCAGGTCTGGGGCACATGATCCCTGAGACTTATAAAGTCGGGTATGGAAGCCTTCTAATTAGGAACAGGTTCTGGGAAAGAATGTACCCCAAACAAATTCCCCTTAGTCTCACAGCCAAGGCTCCTTTGATTTGTTAACTGTTTCTTAGAGAAAATCAAAGTATTTAGTACATCTGTTCAGAATACAGGAAACAGTTGTTCATCCAGAATTTCCCCTCATGCCAGAGGAGAACACAAGAGCACAGTGAAGTTCGGGTTCTGTGAGCCAAAGGGTAAAAAAAAAAAAAAAAAAAAAAACCTTCTCAAGAAGAAAAGGGGGGCTTCAGGGTCCACACCCTTGCTCGCCAGGATTGCTGACAGGCTTGGAAATCACAGCAGATTGAGAGAAGAGCAACTCTCTCTACCTGTGACCTCTAACAGGCTCCACCTGGTTTCCTGGAGTACCCAAGTCCCAGGGCACCTGTGGACCCTGAGCAGCACACCTGCTTCCAGTCACCCTCCTGTGCCTGTCCACTCTTCCTGCAGGAGGGAGGAATGTTCTGGGCTTATTCATTGTTCTGTTTAGGTTGGCATCCAAGGCCTAGCCCTACAACTTTTGGCCCAGCTATAACGTTTCCAAGTCAGCAGAAAATCATTCTCATCAGTGTCCTGGATTTTCTCTCAAGGCCTTGGGATCAATTACAGCCACAACAAGCACACAACCTTGAATTCTGAGGCAGTGGCTACCCAAGCGTGCTAAATCCTTCCAAATTCCAGGCTACTGGCACAGGGCCCCATTTAGGAGGCAGGAGCATCGGGGTGATCCTTAACATTTCCCAGAAAGTCAACTAGGACTCCTTTCTAGGAAATGGAGAGCTATGTTACACAGAAGTCCAACAGAGATACCTGCAGACCTGTCCTTTAAGGCTGCTCTCTCCCAACCCACAGTGTGAGCTGTCATCAACCATCTCTTCAAAACTCCCTTCTTCAGCAAGACATGAGCTTGTGTGAGGTGGGGCACCCTATGGATACATCAGATGGCATGCCTGTGATGGGGCAATGCTTAACAGATTCCTGGGTCAATTAAGTCACTCTAAGTGCTAAATTTCAGTCACAGCCATTCTAGGAACACTGATCTGGGGCAGCAGGGTGGCTGTTTGTTTGAAGACAGAGAGTGATATTGAGACTCCACCTCAGTGTGATTTTGCCAAACAGCCCTATAAATTCCCCCACCAGGAAAACAGGGGGTGTGGGCAGGAAGTATTTCCAGGTCGTTGCTCTTATGATACAACACAGCAGTAAACTAAATAATGAAGTTCAGATGGTCACGGGCCATAGTTCCCATTCATAACAAGGGACTTTGGAGTTGCCCAGGAGTAGGAACCCTTTAACCCAGTGTGAAATGGTGTGAGCCAGCTTGCCCACACACATAGTGATTGTTTAAGAGTCTTCCAGGGCAGGCGAGCACGAAGGTGGAAATCTCTGCTTCCTCTTGCTGGGCTAGTAAAACTGAAACGCCAGTGATACGGTAGAACAGTTTATCAATACTGCACGAGAGGTGGCCTTTGTAATGTTTCACAGCATAGCTCGTAAAACCAATCTATTCTTCCTGCTTTGAGAACAAGAGCAAGAAGGAAAGGCGACTTCGCCTTCTAGCCTTCAGTTATGTGTTCAATCGATCATTTGAGGTCTCTCTTCCCTTCATTCTTCCTCTTGGGTGTATGCCATACTCACCAACTCACTCATAGACAGGTAAGTGATGCAATGCTATGTAGGAGCTGTTAACTTGTTTATTGGTGAATCATTGCTCTCTTATGATTACCAGTGCTATTTAACAAAATCCTTGAATGTTAAAGGAGTCACAGCCAAAATCATTGCTCCAAAGACAGGAGAAATTGAAAACCCAATTGTCTGCCTATCCTAGTACTATCATCCTACAGCTTTGTATATTTTCAGACGTGAAAGAAATCAACATAACTGTGGCAAAATTTGCTTAAGTAGTATATAACAATCATTTATTTTCATTCCATAAATAATTTTCATGTATTGGTTTTTATTATTTCAAGTATATGACACTTAATTATAAATTCAGTAGAAGCAGGGATATTTTCAGTTGTGTGTGTGTTCGTTATATGCTTGTGTTTATGCGGATGTATGTATGTGCAGGAGAGGGGAGGTTTGACATGCATATATGCAACATTAGGTTTCTTGCTCTATCATTTTCCACCAAATATTTTGAGACAGGATCTCTTACCAAACCAGGACCTTATTGATTCTGCTAGACTGGCTGGACAAGAGAGACCTCCAGTGCTGTGCCATCTCTGCTCCCATGTGCTGGGGCTACAGATGCAAGCCACTACACCTATTTTAGTCATGAATGTTGCGAATCAAAACTCAGATCCTCGTGCTTAAACTACAGAACTTTACTGGTGGGACCATCTTCCCAGCCTCTATCTAGGTTATTTTGACAAACACACAACTGTTTGAAATATTGTCCATAAGCTTCCTACTTATTGCTATATCTTGATCTCTATGTAGAGTGCCCAAATACCCATAATTAAAACAGTAAATACTAATCCTAATGATAACTTTCTTATGTTCCACTCCAAATCACAGGGCATCTTCAAATACCTATGGTTGGAATATATATATATATATATATATATTCCAAAGAAATGTGGGCTGCTCACCTCCACTTAACAAAGTATCCACATCCTAGCACAAAGTTATATCTGGAACTTTCTACAGTAGCATATCAGAAGTGTCCTTTCTAACCAGTCTCAGAACTCCTGTTACCACATGAAATCTGTCTCTTGCTGGGACTTTTTTTGTTACACTCTTGCCTTACAAAACCTTACTTTGTTCATACTTCAAGAAAATGTAGTGCCCACCTACTGAGCCATTGTGTAGCAGTCATGCATTCTTTGTATTCTGCATGGGAAAGGGTGATGTCTTTAAAGAAATGAGCAAAGGTTTTCTGCCTAGTGTAGAGTTAATGTCGGGCTGGGTCCCTTTGCCCAGAGCCTTCCATACTCCTTATTGAATAATTCCATCAGCACTGACCACTCACACTTTTGCATAAAAGTGAGAAATTGTCACTGAGGACTTTGTGACAGAAAAATGCCAGTTCACTTCTTCAATGCCCCATACCCTTTTCTGCTTTGTATTACAAAACAAAGCTTTTGTAGATATAAATAGAGACACTAGCATATGCATGACTAAGCAGAAAGGACCACTGTAAATTAATAAAAGCCATTTAAAAACCTTTTGTACCAAAACAGTGTTCTTTGCTTAAAATTAATTAATCTGGAAACAGTGTCGGTTAATACACAGGCAGTCTCATTAGGCAAATTATTAGCCACATAACAACTTTGAATATGACAATATGTCTTCATTGTTACCATAAAATATAATTTAGAAACAAAACCCCAAGCATTTGTGGAGCCCTCGGATCACCTTCCGGGGAAAGCAATTCTGCCCAGTGTGTATTGGCAAATGTCTAAACGCTATACAGCAGAGGGTGAAAGCCATTGTTCACTTCCTAATCAGCATCACTGGAATGTCCTGCTTCTTTTATTAAGGAAAGAGATAGTTTTCCCTGGCCATTCACTAAATTACGCAATTTAACCCTACTGGAAGGAAAGAGGAATGTTATGACATGAGTTTATCAGGGCAATTGGCTTGGCCACCAACCTTGATTACCTTAATCTGGGGAAATCGTAGGAAATGGGGACATGTGTCCATCTCTTATTTTCTGCCCCATCTCCAGTTGTGGAATGTTCAACTCTAAATGGAACATATGTACTATATCCCCTCATGTAACTAACTGCTCTGTGTCAGGATTCAGGCATCATGCTGGTCTGCTCCCATCTCCTGACAGAATGCAGTTATCTACTCCCCCCCACACACACACCCAAGCTCCATGGTTTGACTTAGCTTTATAAGCCAAGGTGGAATGATTGAGATCGGTAGATAGACAGGGACAGAGAGAGATGCACAGTACCCTGGTCAGCCCAGGTGCAAAGACCCCTTTAAAAGAAAGACCTCCGCCCACCTAATGCTTTCTTTCTGCTCTCCCTTTCCTGCTGTCTTTCCCTGGGGCGGACAGAACTTTTCCTGTCTCCCTCTTCTCTTCTCTCTCTGTCTCAGTCTCTCTCTCTCTTCCTTCCCTGCCCAGCTCTCTCTGTGTGTCTCTCTCTGTCTCTCAGTCTCTCTCTCTTCCTTCCCTGCCAAACTCTGTGTGTGTGTGTGTCTTTATCTCTTCTCTTTCCTTCTCTCTCTCTCTCTGTGTGTGTCTTTACCTCTTCTCTCTCTCTCTCTCTCTGTGTGTGTGTGTGTGTGTGTCTTTGCCCCTTCTCTCTTTCCTTCTCCATCCCCTCTCCTTTCTAATAACCCTTCTTGCTTAAGCTCTGA